GCAACGATTTGCCCAATCCATATTCGGTGCTAAGACTCAATTTGGCCAAAGCCCGAGTCCACCACGCGTGATGAAATTTCAGCAGGTCAGAGCCCGCATGCTGTTCAAAAAACTATCAACACACAAGAAGGTAATTACCGTTAATTGTCGTTGTATGTTTGCAGTAATGACTTATCTTATAAATACCGAAAACACCTGTGCGTACGCTACCCGTATCTGCTACTGCTATCTGACTATGTCTCTGATGACGAATCCGCGACGGACCTCGAAACGTCAGGCGAATAATAAGTATTGTCTCAGCGATCGAGTCCTACTCTAAATTAATTCCTGGGACTCGCATGTTCGTTTGTATTCAAATTTTGCCGAAAACACTAACTTAGCATTTGCTGGAGAAACCTACAAACTGAGCAGATGAACGCCGTTGGGCTCCCAGATCTTCGGTTTATTGGCAGAACTGGTCCTACAAGAGCTGGAAAACGCCGCCTTCACCCAACATAAGTCTGCCTTTTAGTGTCGTTACGTTGACGACACGTTTATTATCATCAAAAAGAACATGCTGCAAAAAATTCCATAACTTACTCAGAGGAATCTCGCCTGACATACACTTCATAACGGAAGAAGAACAAGAGCAGCATTTGCCTTTACTTGATATCCTCGTCAGGAGAACGCCCAACGGCGAAATTGAGACCATGGTTTACGGAAGGGCAACGAACACAACACAACTTCTGAGATTTCACAGCAACCAGGCAGTTGTTAATAAACAAAGATGCGTAAAAACGCTCTTTAAAGGGATTCAGACTCACTGCAGTAGGACGGAGGGGAAGGTACGTGAGGCCCGATATCTGCGCGACCAATTTATGCGGAATGGTTAACTGACAGCATTTTTAAACCAAGGCCTACGCGTTCGGCCCCGAAGGACCCGAACGAAAGAACCACCGAGGATATAGCATGCTCTGCCATACATCAAGGACGTCTCAGAAGCGACTGAGCACATCGCCGCGGGACTAGGTGTTGAAATTGCACACAGACCCAAAGCTACCATGCGCTGCAGGGTAACTTAATCAAAAAACCGGTTTTCTCCCAATGGACAATCTGGAGTAGTGTATCGCATCCCACGCCTAAGCTGTCCTTGTAACTACACAGGCCAAACTAAACGCATGGTCGGATCACGCATACATGAACACAAACTGGCTGTACGACGAGGCGGAGAATAATTGCAAGTTGCAACTCATACTTATGAAACAGGCCATAAGTTCAACTTAGCGGCCGTCAAAGTACTCGCCCACGCCGGAACCAAGAGGAGCATAGAATTGATTAAAGTCAGGACCACAGACGGGAATTCAATCAACCGATCAGCTTTGCGCAATCACGTGCACTCACTCCCAGACGTATGTCACAGTTAATTAGCCCACATCCTCCATAATTGCTCCCATTTCTGTTGTTGACGCCCTGATGACCACTGATATCACTGACGGTTAATTAACGTACACTACTCCCCCCTCCCTTTTCATCGCTGTTTATTACCCCTTACGACCCCTGAAAATTGATTGGCGTACACACACCACAATAAGTCTTCTTTGTTTTGCTGACGCTGGACTCCTGTGAGAGTTCAAAAGCTCAGGATAATAAACAAGTTGATCCGGTGCTCGAAAATCCTCCTCCCTTAACCATGCAAATACCCTAACGGTGAATGCTTTAATTAATTCATAGATTCAACAATACAAAACGCCGTGTAGACCCTGGAATTAAAAGCATCCTGCTGAATCTAACCCGTTGTTTAAAGAACCAGAAAAGCCGCATCTTTTTTCATCTATATTGTCATAAGTTCGAGAAATATCTCAAAAATGGTAATTTATATGCCTTGTAGTGGTGGAATGCGGAAAGTATTATTCAGTCCCCGGCCTTAAGCCTATTAAGTCGGGTTATTTTTAAAATCAAAATTGTATCACCGGAGTTAACTATATAGCACGGAGGTATCGATACTCACTGACCAAATAAATGATGCCCCAGTTTGTTAAACACAAGAAGCGCAACTGGACTAAAAAACCTAAGGAAACAAAAATGCTGGGAAACTTGTATTTTTTTTCTATCTGTACACTTTATCTAAACAAAGCGACATCCTGCTTGAGGTCGAAACGCGCCAATCTGTTTGGAAACTTGCCCACTTACAAAAATGGCTACTAGCACTGGGCAGACTGCCCCCTCTCAACTCTCTGTCTCTTCACCTTGTTTTACAATCACCAGGTAGTAGAGCCAGTAGAAGACATTGTACATGATGTAGCAGGTGGGAAACAGGAAACGACTGTAGGCGTCAATCTCGGACTCTGTGGCCTCGGGAATCTTCGTCTTTCGTGACTTCTTTTGGGACTCCTCAATGACGGTGCGAGTCAGGAAGAGGTCAAGGTCATTGTAGAAGGCAAACTGTTGGCTGAATTCGTGCGCCACTGCGCCCGAATTGAGCTGCATGTTGGCCAACTGGGTCTGTTGACAGGCAGCACACCAGCGAGCCAGCTCCTCCTTCACAATAGTCTCCACATCGTTGCGCCAGTTCTCTCGCCGTTTTCGTCGCAACAGCGTTATCGCAATCGCGTACTCGACTAGAACACTGATGACAAAGATGATGGAGAATATGAGCCAGAGGTCGATAGCCTTAATGTAGGAGACGCGGGGTAGGTTAGCGGTCACGGAAGAGGCCTGAGTCAGCAGACCCAGGAGACTAAGCAGACCCAAGGGGACACGAGCCGGCGCGGCGTCAACACTGACATAGAAGCTCAACCAGGAGACCATGATGATGAGGATGTTGGGAATGTAGGTGGTTACCAGATAGGAGCCAAGTTGACGTTTCAGGGCGAACTTTGCCATCAGGCAGGTGTAATTGCCGGTCGAGGTGGAAGACATGGCAGTGCAGTCAATGGTGGTGAAATTTGAGGGCGTGTTGAACTCGGAAATCTGCAGTTTGTCGGGCAGTTCGACGGGGCTTTCTGGCCGCCAGGTGAATTTCAGTTCATTCAGTGTGTACCCATAACTGCCGATATTCATGTGACAGTGTTGGGTATCCATGGGAAAAGTTTGAAGATCCATTTGACAGGAAAACCGCATGGTAATCTTTTGGCTGTAGAGGACGTGGCCGTTGGGGTAGACACGTAAGAGGTAGTTGGGCAGGGTCATTTTGTGCAGATATCCGTCCTTACCATTGCGGAAAAATAGATCGGGCAACCAAAGGCTCTCCTTCAGTGTTGGCGAAACGAGGGCTTGAGTGAAGTTTTCGAATTCCTTTGAGGTGTCCCAAGCCAGTCGGGGATCAGTCCAAGTTTGACGAAGCAGGGCATCAATGTAATAATCCATGGTGCGTACATCCACCGAGAAGATGGCCAGGACCTTCATGTTTACTTCGACAACAGTGGCCACATCCAGCAGCTCAGTGGGCCTTTCGTGTGTTTTGTAGTTGGAAAATAACATCCCGACCAGGCGATCTCGTAAGGTAGATGAAGCGGGTGACTTCAGGGGCAGTTTGCCCATACCCCCGTCATAGTAGGAACCTATAGTATCATCTCGTCTGTCTGTGGCACTGGGATCCAAATCCGCTTTCGGGTCCTGCGGCTGTACTTCTAGAGGATATATTCCGAAAACATTGTTGGCTTCGACGCCTCCGTAACTCTTCAGAAAGCATGCGGACAGAATAAGTACCGCGTGAAGAGTCAGGCCTCGGAGGTAGTATAGGAAACGCATTTGTTTGCGGTAGATTACTCCCTCGTCGGCCCCAACTAACGAGTAGCTTTCCTCTGCCCTAACTGCAACAACAGG